CTAGTAGTGTTTGTGTAATACATAGGATACAATTGACTTATGTTGGAAGATATTTTTTTTACACATGAAATTAGAACTTCAAAACGATGCAGTAGTATTTTTATAACCCCTATACAACTTTTCAAATCGTTTAAATTTAATTTAGACCTTTCTTTTTCGTACCCAAATGGTCAGATGGTCATACAATCAGACGGTCATACCTTGGTCAGACGGTCAGACTTGTTCGAAATTGCATAATTCATCGTTTTAAAAGTATTAACATAGTAATAATCATATCATATCACAAATTTTTCAGGTTCAAATCTGTCGTAGCAATATGGATTGACCACATTTTTTGTTTGACAATAGAATTCCTTCCAAAGAAGAACTAAAGTACTAGTAGTGTTTGTGTAATACATTAGATACAATTGACTTTTGTTAGAAGATTTTTTTTTTACACATGAAATTAGAACTCCAAAACGATGCAGTAGTATTTTTATGACCCCTATACATCTTTTCAAATCGTTTAAATTTAATTTAGACATTTCTTTTTCGTATCCAAATGGTCAGACGGTCATACGATCAGACGGTCATACCTTGGTCAGGGATTCCTGAGATCTCTACAGCGAATCTAATTCCTAAGAGATCGGTTCTAGGATTTTCACAGCGGATGTAAAACAAAAATTTTGATGAAACCCTAAAACCTAACATGCATGATCTTGTAGAATCGTTAGAACGCTTACCTCAATCGATCCGGAGCCTGTATCAATTGATCGTCCGATCACTTAAAGCAGGAAGAATACCTCGCCCTCTACACGTATCCACACGGCGGAACGGATTCCAACGGTTAGAACTCGTCTGCTAGGACTGAAGAACGCTTTCTTCTTTGCGCAAAACCTCTCAAAAGAGTCTGAAAGTCGTGCCAAAGAGCTTAGGATGCGCTCCCCAAAGTTCCTTGCCCTTTAAAACCTAATTTGAGTGAGTTAAGGAAATCCCGACGTCTGGACCGATCGGTCTGGAGCTTATTACGTGTGCAGCGATCGGTCCAGGGCTCTGGACCGATCGGTCTGGAACCATTTCCGGACCGACCAACATTTGGACATCACCCTGGATCGATGGGTCTACATCTGGACCAATCGGTCTGGGCTGGCTGGACCGATCGGTCTAGACCTTCTGGACCGGTCGGTCTGGCCTCCGCTCCACCGGAAAATTCTCGTCTTTTCTCGCGCTTTTGTCCATTCTTGTGTGTGTGACCCAACAGTAGGCTAATCCGATATAGCAGTATAACCCGGAATCTCTATTTTGGCTTACAAGTCATAGGCGGTCTCTAGCAAGACACTATGACTACCTATCTCGAATAAAGTTTGTTCGTGATCTTACGAACGTCTGTGATGATTCCGGTTGATGATCTTTTTGTATCACGATATCATATGTCGAACATAAGGCATGGACAAGCCACCTTATCTGATTCGACTGCTTTCTCGTTCACTGAGTTCGACTGCGTGAAATAGACGACGTTCGTTTATAGTACGGTCACACATTTCTACAGTCTCGCTCACACGAGGGGCCCAACGATATCTCTCTCTTTTACGAGAGGTACAAATCCCGTCTTGACTATCTACAATCCAGCACATGATTCGTTTCATACCTGATACACGCCTTTATAGTTCTCCTATTACGCAGGACGTTTGACGTATTCAAAGTACGCAACTCCTCATATTGGATTCCGTAGATATCTCAGGTCGTAGGATCCAATCATGGAACCGTCATATGAGATTTTAATCATGACGCTAGTCCATGTGACAATCTCATGCGAGTCAGTCCAATATTCCGTTCTCCAACGAATACCTATGATTGTGATCTTATCCAATACCTATGATCATTTATATGATCATCAATCACACATCATACTAGTCTTAGTATAACATTATTCCCATAATGACATATGACTAGGGAGTTTAGTATTGTTCATAACAATACATGGATTTCATAAGATATTAAGTATGAACAACATGTAATGAATAAAACACTCATCCATAAACCATAGAAAGTGTCAATACATCAAATGTATCAAAATAAAGCTCGCAAAACAGTACATCATAAAGCATTAAACCAACAAGACCAGCATGAGGTGCGATTGATGCATTGGATGCATATCACAATCATGGGTACTCGTTGGGTACGAGTGACTAGATGACCCACATGAGATTGTCATATGGACACGAGTCATGACTTGAATCTCATGTAGCGGTTCGTTCTTAGATCCTCAGACCTGAGATGTCTAGAGTATCTGATATGAGGAGTGGCGTGTCTTGACTGCATCAAACGTTATCTTTAACCAGATGATTATAACGGCGGTCATGGTTTTATTATCTCATATTTACTATTCATCTTCTCTCAAGTCTTTTCCATTTACCAACAAAATTTCCACTTTTTAATCATAAAGAAAATAATCTACCAACATTATTCAAGTTGTTTAAATTTTTTATGCATTTATACTTACAGCTTGAGGAAATAGTTTTTTCTATCAAGATTTTATTATAAATTTTTATGCATATAAATTGATCCCAATAGAACATCCGTCAATATAAATAAGGAATGACCGTAAAGTTTTATAAAATTTACAAAATTTTTACTTTCTGTGTAGAAAATAATGTCTTGTAATACCAATTCGGATTAATTAGAAAATTCTCAACTCTTTTATTTATAGAAAATTCTATAGAAAATCAATAACTTGAAAAAAACACACAAAAGTAACATATATATACATGGATAAAAAAAATTCAAACAAAGACAATATAGCATAATTCATATTTTCTGCTACGTCATTTTTTCGAGTGCTACATGGAAATTTGGACTTCCGATTACGTTTATAAATTGGCGTTGTATGTATGGGTCAACATTGATTAGAAATTGATCTGACGTTATCTTGATAAGTTCATGTAAGATGTTATTAATTGTTGGAGTTTTTCAACATAATGTATTTACGTCGAATTCATTTTCTTTCCTTTTTTTTTGTAATTTTATGATTTTTCCTTGATTATATTTCACTATTAACACAAAAATCCAAAAAAACCAAAGTCATCAGACTTGGTCGATGACATTTGAAGGCGACAGATTAAATTAAATATTTTTTCTATACGATTCTGATATTTAGAAGAAAAATATAGATTACAAATCTAATTAAGTATTGTTATTTTTTTAAAATAGATAGCAAAGAATCCATACATTAAAAGAATAACTGAAAACTAAAATGTCCAAATCTAAATGAAAGATATACGGAATGGACAGAATCTACGTATCGACAGCATTAGATAAAGACAGCACAGGCAGTGTAATGTTCTAATGCATAAAAATCTATGGAGCTGACCTTTAGCATTCTCTCTGAATGTAAAGATGAGGCTTAGTTCATGAACCTCCCTCTTGTCCGCGACACAGTGGACCCCACTCTCTTTCTCTTTCTCCTATACAATATCTTACTTTATTTTATTGTTTTCCATATCCCTTAAAAGGAAATAATATTCAGACTGCATGTATATATAAAGAAATTAAAATTTATTAAAAAAAAAAGTAATTTTGACATCAACGCCAACATCCAAAGGAGTCGTCATTTTCACCCATACCATAGTATTATATATAATAACACAAACTATATATATATAAATATATATACTTGCTTAATCTCCTCTCCAAAAAAAAAAAAAGATGAAAGGTGAATACTTAGAACACAAGACACAAACCCACAAATCAAACAACAACATTAACATCGACATGTTCTCCAAACTTCCTCACCACCAGCACCAAAACCCTCTCTCTTCCCACTTCCACCTCTCCTCCTCCATCTCCGGCGACTCCTCCTCTTCCTCTGCGGCGGCGGGGGAAACCCTCCACCGCCGGCGATGGTTCTTCCGTCGAGGTTGTCAGGCGTCCACGTGGCAGACCCCCTGGCTCCAGGAACAAGCCGAAACCCCCCGTTTTCGTTAGACGCGACACCGAGCCCTGCCTGAGTCCGTACATCCTCGAGGTCCCTCCCGGAAACGACGTCGTTGAGGCCATCAACCGCTTCTGCCGCCGGAAATCCGTCGGTATTTGTGTCCTATCCGGCTCAGGCTCCGTCGCCAACGTTACTCTCCGGCAACCCTCTCCGGCTTCTCCCGGCTCGACCATCACCTTCCACGGCAAGTTTGACCTCCTCTCCATCTCCGCCACTTTCCTCCCGCCTCCGCCGCGCACTTCTCTCCCCCCTCCCGCCATTTCCGGCGTCTTTACCGTCTCCCTCGCCGGACCCCAGGGCCAGATCGTCGGCGGATTCGTTGCCGGACCCCTTATCGCCGCCGCCTCCGTCTACGTCGTCGCCGCCAGCTTCACCAACCCGTCTTACTACCGGCTACCCTCCGCCGTCGAGTCACTGGAGGAGGGTCAGTCTCCGCCGGCCTCCGGCGCAAACGGCCGCGGAGATACGGGACACGTGGCGACTAGCGGTGGAGAGTCGTCATGTGGGGTGTCGATGTTTAACTGTCACATGGGTGGTTCTGATGTAATTTGGGCTCCCACCGCTCGAGCTCCACCGCCCTACTGATATTTTTCTTTTGAATCTCATCTTTTATCTGTTTGTGTTTTTTTTTGTTCATTAACAATTTGGTAACTCTTGAAAGGGTTTCATAGTTTTAGATCAATAGATTTAGGGTTTGTTGCTCTCGACGAGGAAGAAGACGAAGATGATGATATTTTAAAAGTTTTTTATAAAAGTTTTGGCCAACTTGTTACTGTGTGGTAAGATTATCGAAAAACAGGATTATTTTCTGCATTTTATTGTCTGGAACGTAATTTAATCAATGTAAATTAATGTTTTCGTGAGTCCAAAAATACATTTGAAGTCTAGGTTATCTAAGGAGAAGATTTTGTGTGCAGTCAATGAATACATTTGAGAATTTGTAAGACCATGTGTATATCGTCCAATGGTTTTTATTTTTTACTCGATGGTAAGAGTGTGAAAATTAAAAAAAAATGGTATTGGTAAATGGAAATTATTAGTATGTCGGATGAAAAAGAAGAGAAAAAAAAACGTGAGAGGAAATAGAATAGGGGCAACTTACGAGATTTATCGGGAAGAAGATTTTCCTAGAAGAATGTGGCCGCAATCGCTGATTTTAATAACTATATTTGTTCAACCTTATAAATATATTAACATTTTCGAAAATTTAAATTTAAATTTTATTATATTTTACATGAATATATTATTTCTTATATTGAATTTATAATTTTATAAAATTATTAAATTTTGAACTCATTTATAAATAAGAATAACAAAAATAATTATCCCATCATTTATTATCGAATAAAATTTTTAACTGACATACAGATCATGAAATATTCGTTGTATTTGTTATGGTTTTTGTTTATTATTGCTAGTTGAATGTTTTTTCTAAAAAAACCTTGTCTTAAAAATATATATATAACTCATGATGCTGTATAAATTTCACGCTAGATAAAAAAAAAATCAAAATAATATATAAACATAGCAATACGAAATTCTCCGTAATCGTAGTATTTAATTATAGAAAATAGTTTTTTTAGTTGCGTATCCATATTACGGAAAAAATGGCCGATATCACGTGCGAATGCGTTGTTTCATGTGCATAGGAAAGTAATGTATTTTCTTAGAACCTTCGTCGACATCAAGTACATTCTCTTTATCAGCAACAAAGATTCCATTTGATTTTTTTTAATAATCAACCAACTACTTCAACAATCTATGTATTCGTTAATAAAAAAACACATGTCATTATGTTGGAAAAAGTGAAAAAAATGTCAAAATTTGAATTTAGATTCGATATGAAATCTCTTAGCACTAATTCATTCTCGATATAAACTACAATCTCAATAATTCATTACATAGATATTGGATCGATCATTTTTTTTTGATATATTGGGGAACCCCCTTAACTATCTACCTTTATAAACGGAGACGAACTGGCCACCACCCACGTCTAACAGTCTCCGATCGGACCTGACCACCAGGTGCGCCTAACGCCCGAGTCGTAGTTGGGCTTAGACGCCTGCGGGTCAAACCCCAAGCCCACGCGTACGAGCCTGCAACATACACTGCAACATACACGTAGGAGGTAAATCAGTCCATTATGATAGACTGATAGGCGAGCAGGTCAGAGGAAGGGAGACGGCAAGGTTCGATCCTCCACCTCAAGGAGTTAATTACCCCCTCCTCCCAATCAGCTGACCTGGCCCCGGCGATCGATCTTTTTTGTTGTTAAAATACATAGTTATCCTATACAAATATATTGTAATTAATAACATGTAAAAATTAAAAAAAAAAAACCAAAATTTTCCAAAAAAAAATCAAATTTAACAGATATTTTAGCCAATAGTTTTTGAAAACAAGATATAGAAATCTTGAGTGTTGAAATCATCTATAGAGAGAGACTGTTTGAGAGTGATAACTCACAAATTCAAAGATAAGATGGAAGAGTGATGGGTCCATTCCACATTTCTGTCTCGGGGCTTCTTCGCTTTAGGTTTCATCTCCCTAAACCACTTTTATTTTATTTTATATGACTTTTTGTCTCTAAACATATATTTTTTTATAAAAAAACATTTTTTTATGTGTACAGAAGTATTATCCAGAAAATATAAGAAAAACACATGAAAAAACCTAAAAACGTCACTTGTTTTAAAAATATATTATTCTGAAACGTAAGCGGAAGAAGTATATATTATCGTTTAAATTAATAAATATTCTCGTACAAATATCATATAACATAGTTTATTTTTATTGGAAGGGTGGACTCACCATATATGTCCATGTGAGTTACAACGAAGACTAGGGTTTGTGATCATATTTCTTGGACAAGATATACGTATTTTACTTGTCTGCAAAATGATGGTGTGGTGTGGGCGTCGAATTTACACGCAAAATAAAATTAATATTATCTTTCTTTATGTTTATTAATAAATAATATTATATATATATATATACATATTATTGTTACATCATATAACAAAAGATTGAGAAAATATATACTTCCATCGAAAGGCATTCTAAGAACATCGAGTATGTATTGAATATTTTATAACGAATTGGGAATCTAGATTTTGTTTATACACATACCGGCTCTGTCTGCTGTCTTTGTTTGTAGATTTCAAAGTGTAAAACAAAACTCTAAAATACCGTCGCCTGAGAGATTCGAACTCTCGCGGGGAAACCCCATGTACTTAGCAGGCACACGCCTTAACCACTCGGCCAAAGCGACAGATGCGATAAGTTTAAATTTAACACCTATATTCTAAAATTACAATTGAACAAATCCTAGCCGTTGACCTCAAACCACATCTTAACCGTTGAATATTTTCAGTCAGAATCAACCGTCGATTTTAGTAAAGTATATCGACCATTGGATCAGACCGAGCCGCATCCCAGTCGTCTATTCTCATATTTGATCTAAACCGTGGATATCGAGATCTCATATAGGCCGTTGGATAAGAGTGAAAGAGATCTTAACTGTTGATAATAATGTCGTACGAGAACCGTTAGATCTACCCTAACCAAATTGAAGCCGTCGATTTTTGACTGAATGTGAACTGCTCGATAAGATTGAAGCAATCTCAGCCGTCAACATATAAACGACATCCAAACCGTTGGATCTGTTTCCAGTGATTCGTACCCGTGGATCAGATACAACATAGTAAACGAGGAATCTAACTGTAAAACATAATTTCATGTTATCTATAATTCTATATGCATAAAAAGAAACCGAATTCATGTTTTTTCTATATAGAAGTTACTGTAATGTCTGAACATCAAAAGCTCTTTAAAGATTTCAAGATTCAAGAATTCCCGACCGATTTTCCCTGAACCGCGAAAACTGTCCACGAATGACGAGGGTGTCATCCCGTGTTCTTCGCCCCGACAGGCGCAACGAGATCGATGCAGGATCTGATCTTCTCTATGCTTTCTCAGTAGTAGAAAGACTTGTCTTTGCTGTTCACCGCGTCTTTGCAGAGAATGGATCGGACTTCCATTATCGATCTCGGAGGCTCGAGGTCTTGCTCCCGCAATGCGTTTCCTAGTAGCCGTTGCATCTGAGACGCGAATGTATCGTCGAGAATCTGCCAATTGGAAATTGTCGTCAGTCGGTCCGCAAATATTAAGCGCAAAAACGTTCTTCGGAACTTTTTGTAGAGTCGAGTACTTACAGAGACCGCAACGCGGGAACCCTTGTACCATGCTCTGTTCTCTTTCCTGTTCTCCAAAAAGCTTAGAACAACCTGTCGCCAGTAAGAAATCAGTTAAACTCTCCTAAAAACTATCAGCCATCCTGTATGGGTGGCACAAGTCGGGTAACCCGAAAAATTCAGAATACCCAGATCAGATACCCGATTTATGGTATCCAATAAAAGGTTGAGTACTCGCGATATCCAAACCCAACAATTATAACAAAAAAATGGGTTCGATTACCCGAACTCACACCCGAGGACAAAAGGGTAATATTTGACACCCGCCACCGATTTTAATTATCTGTGCTTGTTCCTGTTTGACGTGTAATAAAAATCTATAACCCGTCCCATACCGTGGAAAGCTAGTATTCAAAAATCGGGCATCCATGAACATTGTTACGGATTTAATTATTTTCGACTCGCTTAGTTTAGGTTCCAAAATGACTAACCTGTCCCATGCGATCCCAACATCCTCGGCACAACGATATGAAGACGTGCGTCTCGCAAACGGAGTGTAGATGATTCACCGTGTTGGTGAGTTGCTCTCTCACGGGTTGCATCTTTGCCCTGATGTCCGATTCCCCAACGCTTTCTTTCGAGTCTTGCAGGATCTTCTTCAACATAGTCGTTTTCTGCAGTTTGGTCTGTGGAAAAAAAAAACCGTTATTGAGCTTTCCATTGTACTCTGTTTCCATATGAGAAATTATCAGACTTTTGGCACGGAAATCTACAACAAGATAGAGGGAGGAGACGAAAACTCACGTTTTCCGCAAGTTTTTCGACCACAGCCTGAAGATAACTTCGGAATTTAGCTCTAAGCATCACTGTAACCTCGGAGAGACGCTCTCCGGGAGCTGTACTGCCGCCCTCAGGAATGCACGATGCCCAAGCTTTAAATTTAGCCTCTATGTTAGGCCGGAGAATGTCGAGCATCCTCTTCATGGAATTTAATAGAATTCCGAGCTACAAAAGCATATTCGAAGAAGGGAAAAAAAAGTCAAAATGAGCAGACAGAATTAAACACCGAAATAAAAAACAGGACAGTTCTTAGAAGGTTCACCTCGTCGGGGACAACATAGGCACACACCGATCGTTTGGTAAGCTTTTGGACATATTTAAAGCTTAATTTCTTCGGAGTTATATTCTCTTTGAGTGGCGACAAAACATCTGCGTATTGCTTATCCAACGCTTCCACGATCGCTTTTTCAACATCCGCAATGGCCTAAAAAAAACGTTATATCAGTCCTCCAAAAGTTTGTAAATATGAGATCGAGGGGAGATTAAAGATATTGTCTAAAAACGTACACTTTCAAGCACAAAGATGTACTCCGGCCATCTGGAGATGATAACTTGGTAGTCATTAATGGTTTCCGCAAGCCGAGCATACATTTCATCCACAAATGGAGTTGTTGAATGCTGTGTCCTGACTCCACACCATTTCACCTACATGCATAGGAGGAATCAATTTCTCGAAGTCGGACCACGGGATTACAGAAATGGCTCAAAGAAGTAAATTACGAATCTTCTTATGTTATTTTATTTACCCGCAAAACACATACCTTATCCAGTTTACATTGTTCGAGCAAGGAAATGCGTTTATCTTGAATCCAAAGCATAATATATAGGTGAAACAACTCTTTTGCATCGACACCGCCTTTTATGGGGCTGGGAAAACGAAATCGTGATTGTCAGCCAAAAGCAAGAGAGGAGTAAAAAATCAAATCACCCGAAAGATCTACCTAATGTTCCAGCTGGCGAGATCCCGCTGAAAATCGGCAGTTGCAATAACAAGCTCTGCAACCGGTGGTGAAGGGCCGGATGGTGGACAAGCAACAAGGAATGCACGGAGTCTGATGCAAAGGTCGGTGCTATATATAGATGCCGACAAGTTTGGGAGGTCAAGAAAGCTGCAGAAAACCAAAAAAAAGGCAATGTTTTGGCATTTCATGCAAAAAGTTTAACCAAAACCAGCAGGTAGATGCAGCAAAAGCCTTAGGAGGAGCTAAATGCACAAGAATACACATCAGTAACTTAGAGATAGCAAATAAAGAAAACCCAAAAATTGCATTGGTGATCAACAATTTTCTGAAAATATTTACCGGGTAAGTTAATATATCAACAAGTTGGGTGTAACATGTTTTGCGTCACAGTCACATCCACTTAACGTGGTATCCTGAATCAAAACCCATCCACTTAACGTGTAGAAAAGTACCTGGGAAGTATATCTTGGTTTTGGATCTCAATGTCGGTAAAAATCTCGTTCTTGACATTCTTGCAAACCGTAGTCATCTTCTGGTAAGCAGTCGACATTGCAGAAGGGTCCCAAAAGTTCGGTTCACTGTTGTTTGTAACAAACTCATCTGTCTCAGTTAAGTGCCTTCTAGATCTCTTCTTTGCTGCCGCCTATAAAAACCACTAACAACGATAAGATGAGGGAAAGATTGACACAGAATTAAGGAAAAGCAACAAAAAAGCTGCGTACTTTACCTGAAAGTAATGAGAGAGAGTAGTTTGTGCCTCAGGAGACAATATGTCATGCAGTAGAGTATACAGTTTAACAGCAGGTAAAAGTGCTGGAGCCAGAATTCCCGTTGCAGGCTTGAACACATCAATCATTCCAGAAAAGGATGACTCATCAAGGGATTTGTAATTCTCGAAGACTAGCGCAAGAATCTGCTCGATCTGGTCTTTGATTTCACTCAGTATTCGATTCTGTTGAAAGCATAAAATAAAACGAACAGATTCAGCGGAGAAATCAGAAGTAACATGTAACAGCGAGAAACATCAGAACAAGGCAAAGATGTCGACAAGAAAATAGATCATTGTGAATTTACCTCTTGATGACTTAAAGCATTCTTTCCATTTCCTTTCATGATGACAGGCATTAACAAGTCATGCACCAAATTGAGACAGTCAGAAGTCGGTGTGGCCACATCCATTACATAGGACAAGTATCTAAAAACAATGAAACAAGCAGGTAGACAAATAATGTTATATAATTAAAGAATAGAATATTCACTGAAGTAGCAAAAGTTAGGAAAAACAAACTCACTACCTGAGCTTGGTGTAGACATCAGAAACACCATAGTAGGATGCAAATTCTTCCAAAAGCCATTTCCATGAGCCATGTAACAACAAGTTTCTTTGTTGAAACCGCTGCATTTTCATAGCCACTTCCAGGGCCAAGTCATATGCAACTGTTTCAGCAACTGAGCCACACTGGAGGAAAAAGAGAAATTAACATGACAAAATCGAGCAGAAACATGATATGATGAGTACTGTATCTCGCCTTCAGAGACAAACTTAACGTGTTTTAAACAGTGGATCATATGGTATGGCAGTTGGACTAAGAAACAGACAATTTATCTGGGCTAAGAAACAGATACATTTCATGTGACATGGCTGCATGCACAATTGAACATGCATGAGCACTTAGAACACTGATAAAATTTCTTCGCTTAACAAAAACCAATCCAAAGGCACTGATAAATCAGTCAAAGGAACTATGCCCAAATTACTATCGAGATTTCTAGCTAAGATCACCTGGGAAAGAG